CGAGGCAGGGAGCGGAGAGGCTTTGAACCTGCTGCGTTAGGGTTTGGAAGTCACTTACCATTGTGGAATTAACCCTAACGCGGCGCGTCACAAAGAATCTAAAAGGTGTTCGAGTTTGGGTATTACGCTTTGGATGCTGGGCGTCGACATATTCCGCAGCTATCAAATGACAACTGTAGTTCGAATCATTCGATATGATCACTAGAGGTGGGTGTTGGAGGTTTGTGACTGCGAATGTGAAGGTAGGCGTCCCGCACGTTCGTATTCGCCCATTACCCTACTCGACCAATATATGTGTTCATATGACCGATTTGAATCGTATCGAGTTTCCCTGGTTTATATGATGAGGGGGCACCCCCTGTGGTGGAATGAGTGAAAAGCCACTCGTTTTCTAATTCCGTGCAACCGACAAAGGGATGTTTCCTAGCGTCCTAATCCGACTCTGACGGAATTTGAAATGATTTCGCAGCAGAAGCGCGTCTCAAAGCTCGCATTTTCGCCAATGCGCATGCAATAACGCGTTATCCGCAATCGATGCTTCGGAACTTCGGTCAGTAGAGTGGAACGATTGTGAACCACGCCACCCTCAACGTCGCGCGGGAGCCGAAATAAACGTCGTGCTGCTCACCCGCCAAGCAGGCGATCGTCACGCGCTGCGCGCGCGCTGCCAGGCAGCATGGGCGGCACCGCCGCTGGTGTCACCCGCGGCGATGGCCGCCCTGGAGAGCGAAGGCTGGCACGTCTCCGCGCACGCGCTGCTCGCGCTGCTCGCCGCGAAACCCCCCTCCGCGGACGGCGGCGCACCGGATCCGCAAGCCTCCCCCGCGTCCGCCGCTTCCGCGCCGTCAGGCCAGCTTCTTGGCGCGGCGCAGAGCGCGCCGATGTCGGCGCAGCAGGTGCGCGCGGCGGCCTTAGACCTGGACCTGCGGCGGTTCGGCGAGGCGTGCTTGCCGGACGACGTCAACCGCGCCGAGTACCGCCGCCGGCCGGGGAAGCTCTTCGTGCAGGTGAGACCCTTTGCCATGATTGCCATTCCCACTGCCCTTGCAAGGTGACTTTTGAGGTCGACTCAAAAACTACTGCCGCCTGCCGGGTCGACTCATCGTGCAGGTGAATCCTTTTGCCTGCCCACTGCCCCTGCAGGCGAGTCCCCTGCCCCTTTGAGTTGACTTAGACGTCACCGCGGTTCGCAGGGGGGCGAGTACCGCCACCTGCAGGAAGGATAGGCAGGTCCTCCCCCCCCACTGTCTTCCGAACCACCACTTCCCTCATCCCTTTTGCTTGCTGCGCCCCCCTTTTGCTGCCCTCCAGTGGTGTTGGCTGTGAACGTGTGCGAGCCCAGGGGTGGGGAGGGACGCTGACTCACACCTGCTCTGTACTCCTTGCTTCCCCTCTTGTGCCACCCTTGCGCACCGTCCTTGCTTCCCCTCTTGTGCCACCCTTTCTCCCCACCAGGTGGTGTCAGTCAGCCGTGAACGTGTGCGAGCCCTGGGCGGGGAGGACGCTGAGTCACCTTGCTCTGCACTCCCCGCGACCCTCCTGCTGCCCCGCCCCCGTCTCTCCCCTCTAGTGGTGTCAGCCGTGAACGTGTGCGAGCCCAGGGGCGGGGAGGACGCTGAGTCAGCCGCCGCCGCCGCTGACGAGGACGACCGCTGGGATGACGACAGCAATCCGCCCGCCCCCCCTGCTGCCCCTCTCCTGCTGCTTCCACTTCCGCTGTTGGTGTGGATGGGGGAGGCGAGGTGCAGTAGGTGGCAGCGGGGGCCGAAGGCTGCTGCGCATTCGGGTGACGGACGGCAAGAGGAATGCGAGTGCTGTGGAGATGCATCCCTGCCCGCACGTGCCCGCTGCTCTTGCTCCGGCACCAAGGTACTTACTTTGGTCACCCTGCTGCACTTGATTGAACGTTTGAGGCGTCTCAAGCAAGGATTGCGAGTGCTTGGAGATGCACCCCTGCCCGCACGTGCCGGTTGCTCTTGCCCCCCGGCACCAAGGTACTTACTCTGGACACCAATGCCTCCTGTTTCACCTTTAGTTGGACGGACGGCAAGAGAATGCGAGTGCTGTGGAGATGCATCCCTGCCCACACGTGCCGGTCGCTCTTGCTCAAGGCACCAAGGTTACTTACTTTGGTCACCAAACGCTCCCTGCTTCACACTGATTTAACTTTTGAGGCGCCTCAAACAAAGAATGCGAGTGCAGTGGAGATGCACCCCTGCCCGCACGTGCCGGCTGCCCTTGCTCCCGGCACCAAGGTATCTAGTGTGGTCACCATGACACCATGCATGCATGCATGCATACAACGCCTTTCAAGAAGAACTTCGCCTTCATTCCTTGCGCTGGTGGTATGGCGAGTGTGCATGCAGAAGCAGCAACTGCGCTTTCCGCCTACAAATGCAATGCAGCTACAGGCGGAATTCGGTGCTCTTTTTGCTAACAGAAAGAACTTGTTACGAAGATCACGTGCCGCTCGTTTTTCCCTCTCCCCTCCCAGTCTCCCGCCTCCTCTCAAGCTCCACCATCCGCCACGGATTCATCCTGCTGGACCCTCACTGCGTCAGCGCTGGGCGGCTGCGTGTTGGGACATTCAAAAATTATCAATGCCATCCCCCCTTCCCTACCTCCCTCCCTCCCTCCCTCCCTCCCTCCCTCCCTCCCTCCCTTCCATCCCTCCCTCCCTCCCTCCCCTCCCTCCCTCCCTCCTCCCCTCCCATCCCTCCCCTCCCTCCCTCTCTCCCTCCCTCCCTCCCCCCTCCCTCCCTCCCTCCCTCCCTCCCTCCCTCCCTCCCTCCCTCCCTCCCTCCCTCCCTCCCTCCCTCCCTCCCTCCCTCCCTCCCTCCGCCCCTCCCTGCCTCCCTCTGCTCCCCCCCAGCTTCTCCTCACCAACCCCACCATCCGCCACGGATTCATCCTGCTGGACCCGCAGTGCGTGCAAGTGCTGGGCGGTCGTGTCTCCCCTCTCTACGACGAGTGGGACATGCAGCGCCGCTATGCCCTCCTCCCCGCCCTCGCCCCCACCCCCTCCTCCGCCCACTCCTCCCGCTCCGCCCGTGCCTCCCTCTCCGCGTCTGCCTTGCTCTCCTCCTCCTCTCTCCCCAGTGTCGCTGCTGGCCCGCCGCCCTTCCGCGGGGTCACAGACATGCGCCTGCCAGCAGCGCCAGTTGTCACGACTGCCAGCACACCTGCCAGTATGCCTGCCAGTGTACCTGTCAGCACGCATGAGCCTAGAGCAGCAGGCGGGGGGGCGGCAGTAGGGCGTGGAGGTGAGACCAATGCTGGCGCCTCTGCCCCTGCAGCAGCGGGAGCATCGGGGACAGCAGGTAGTGCTGCAAGAGAAGGGAGCGGAGGGTCGGCAGAGGCGGGGGAGGTGGGGGTAGCAGCAGAGGCAGCGAGGGAGAGGGCGGTGGAGCGGGCAAGAGTTGAGGCTGCTGCTGCTCTCAAACACGTTGCTCCACATGACAGGAGCGCTTCCAGGAAGCTTCTGGAGAAGATGGGGGAGGAGCAGGGGCGAGGCAGGGGTAGGAGGGGAGGGCGGGGGGGAAGGGGGAGGGGGAGGAGGGGGCGGGAGGAGGAGGAGGATGAGGGGACGATGACACTAGAGGAATATGAGGCAAGGAAGGCCGCAGGGAAGCAAGGAGGGGGAAGAGGGGTGGGGGGCATGGTGGGGGGGATGGCAGCAATGGGAGGGGTGGCCGCAAGCAGTGCAGCGCAAGTGATGTCAGATGAGGAACTTGCGAGGAAGCTGCAGGCAGAGCTGGATATGGAGGACATGGGGGGCCGGGTGTGTTTCCGTCTCTGCTCTGCTCTTCCTCGTCCACTTCCTTGTGCCGGCCCCTCACTCACTCACTCACTCACCCACTCACTCACTCACTCACTCACTCACTCACTCATTTGTTTCTTCCAGTTCTCATGTCCGCTATGGTATTCTTGCCGTATTTTCTTACCTGTGCCATCTCATTTCTGGCCCTCCACTGTCACACCTCCATCTCCCACTCTCACCCCTCCATCTCCCACTCTCACCCCTCTATCTCCCACTGTCATCTCTTCACTCCCAGTCTCACCCCTCCATCTCCCACTCTCACCCATCCATATCCCACTCTCACCCCTGCATCTCCCACTGTCAACCCCACCTCCTCGCTCTCCCCAGGCACACGCAGCCCACACGCCTCCACACGCACACCACACACCTTCCACTGCCACGTCAGCGTCGGAGCAGCTGCGCCAATCACTGTTCAGCTTCCAGCCAGCAGCAGAGCCCGAGGGGAGCTACGAAAGGGGCAGAGGGTTTCGGGGCAGGGGGGGGAGGAGGGGAGGGTCTGGAGGCAGAACCAGTGGGAGATATGGGGGACGAGGGGGAGAGAGAGGAGGCAGAGGGGGCAGAGGATGGTGAAAATGGTAATGCTCCAGATCTGGGACGACTCAGGGCAAGGGGCAGGCATGGGAGGAAGGGGGTCTAGAGGGAGTACCAGCGGCAGATGCGGAGACAGAGGGGGAGGAAGAGGAGAGGAGGCTGAGGGTGGTAGTATGTTTCAGCTCGCAAGAAGGAGGATTATTTGCAGCGCTTAAAGTTTTTATTCAAACATCGGCGGACCCATGGTTCTGCCCTACTTTGTTTGCGGGTTTATCGTACTGTGTTCTCTATGGCACGTTTCATGGTATTTCATGCTAATTGCCCTCTTGGAGGATCTTGATGCAGAATACCTTGAATGCTGCACGAAGATACATTTACTGCACTGATAGTATGATCTGATTGTATGAATTGTTCAGGTTACATCAAGAATCAAGGTTCAAGTTGTGTTGCATCATTGCAGTTGACACAAGTGTGATATAAGCTCACATCAAGAAAGAACTACACATAGACGGACATTACAGCGGGGATGGAATGCCATTAAATTCGAGCCCTAGGCCCACGCGGACCGCGACTTCAACCGACCAATTGCCGCCACCGCCTCAAACCCAGCCCAGCGAAGTGTCGTGGCTTCGCGACAGTTTCCTGTCCGGAGTTGCGACCGAACTGTGGGTTACGGACAATTTCGTCATGAATGTAGCTGCATCGCGAAACCGCTTCAGCGCTTTCCGCACCGCATGTCGGCCAACGCTGACGCGCTTCCAGCCCACAACTCAAATATAAATCACAATTCGTGCCTCCAATTCTTCATCGAATTCATTCGTGCCTCCCCCCGAAATCATTCAACTTCCATCGCTCGAAACCAATTTAGCGATCAATTCAACCTGACGCTGCCAGTCACGCTTTCTGCGGCTGCGTGAGCACACCACTTTAGCGACAATCGCATGCATTCGCGAAAGATGGCCAGTTCACGGTTCATTCCTCTCTTCGGCCTGCTCTGCATCGTGCTCTGCTTCGCCACGGCTCACGCACAGGCGAAGCCCACCAAGGCGCAAATCAAAGCGGAGCTGCAGAACATGGCGAACACCATCACCAAGAAGTACCCGCAATACGCGAAATACGCCAAGGACATCAACAAGTACATCGGCATAGCACGTAAGGACCATAAAGCTACATTGTTTTCTTTATTACCTCGGCTAGGAAACTCACCCCCCTCTCGTTCAAAACGCCAGCAGAAAGTCCATCATTTGTAGTCGTTAGTAGGCAGGATACCCTTTTAGCGGCTTACACGCTCCTCTAATCACTCCTCGCGCTCAGATGCTGACCCGTTTTTTTCCGCCTTCCCTCTCCCTCTCCCTGTGTTCCCCCTTTTATTCTCTTTCCATCGCCAGTGAACTCCAAGTACGATTTCACAGCTCTCAGCGACGCAACCCTTCTGCTCCCCAGCGACACGGAGGCCCAGGCCCTCGCTAAGAAGGTCCCCGCTAACAACAAAAACATCCCGAAGATTTACAACATCACCGCGTACCACATCATCCGCAAGAAGTACACTGTTCCCGCTCTCAAGGCGCTCAAGAAATCGCAGCCGTTGGGGACGCAGCTAAAGCAGGCGATTTACAAGGTTTCGCCGCAGAATGGTAACACGATTTCCTTCGCCAAGGCTCCCAACGCCCCCCCTGCCGCGTGGACGACGATCAAGCTCGTGAGGCTGTACGCTGGACCGTACTTCATTGCCCATGGCGTGGATAAAGTCCTGATTCCTACCTACACTAAGGTGTAACATGTTACCCGAGCATTGCTTGGTCCTCAGTTGACGGTCAGTCGTGCTGCTGGTTCAACTTCTGAACTGGGGATGACTGGAGGTCAACTGGGCATCAATTTAGATCTTCAGCGGGCTTTGTGGTGCAAGTTGTAAATATGTTTCAGTGACTTGAGTATCATTTGAAGTTTAGTATCCATTGTTCAGGTGTACAATCTTCGGGCACGTCTGATTATTGAGTCCACTATGCATTCGTAAGGCACAAATTGAAAAGGCTTCTGTTATATCGACGCACCTGCTGCTGCTATTGCTTCAGCACGGTTTGGGATTTATTAGCAACTGGATCAGCTGTCAGCTCTCTCTGAACCCACCAGCTTCTTTCTTTCAGCGAGAGATTTACGGGCTAATAGAATTTGGGACGGTAACAAGCAAGTACGCTTCCTAGAATGCTTTGCGACAGAGAGGGCGAGACGAGCAATCGGTTATGCCTGTGCTGTTCCTCCTCCTCACCCCCGTCGTACTCCCACTCGCCCGATGACACGCACGAACCCGAGCGCCTGTGCCGCCGCTGCTGACTCCGAGCCTCCCCGTGTGGTTTGGTGGAAGCAGGACGGGTCTGGGTGCTTCCGAACCCAGCCGTGAGGCCCGGAACCATGGTGACAGGGGCGGTAGAGGACCGTACGTAGTGGAGTAGAGGCTTGACATTGCCCTGGGGGGTTGCTAGATCACGGGAGGAACAATGGGGCGTGGGTAGCGGAAGACTTATGAGGAGAGTTCAAGGATCAGACATGCTAGGCTGAGAGTGGCCTTTGGTGGGGTGAAAGTGGCCTCGGCTGTTTCACCAGCACAATTGCTTCACCGTGTTGCACTTACATGGCTTGCCAGGCACACTGCAGCAGACTGCCTTCACATGGCGTGCCACTGCACACCTGATGAAACATGGCGTGCCACTGCACACCTGATGAAACATGGCGTGCCACTGCACACCTGATGAAACATGGCGTGCCACTGCACACCTGATGAAACATGGCGCGCCACTGCACACCTGATGAAA